TTCGTAGTCTGGGAAGGATTCTTGCAGAAGATGTAGCTAATAAACATTGCTGGACTGAATTTACATGGTCTCTTGGAGTTCCTTGGGCTAGGCCTGACATTACTGGATCACTGACCACAACAAGGTCTGTCATTGCACCTCTTGGAAATGAGTTTTTCTTGCCAGAAAAACCACGTTCTGTGTACCAGCAGAACGCCTGAAAGTCAGGATTGGAGTTCACATTCATGAATCTGCTCCTTCATTGTCTCAAAATAGGTTGGCTTGTGGTATTAATTTCAATCCACTGGAAGCTATTATAAATTCTATGGGAGTTTCATAGTTTCCAAGCTCCAAACATTGTTGGCCTGATATTTTTTATTGTCCCTCCCTAATAAAAATTAAAGTAACTTGTAATGTGTTCCTATAACAATAAATAGAACATGGAACCAATTATGTACATGAGCCCTGTTAGAGGATACCAAGCTTTTGTGACAGAAATTGGCAGAAACCAAATGAACTTATCAATCCTTTAGTGTAGTGGTTAAAGTCCTGGCCTAGAAACCAGGAGACCTGGGTCCTCCTTCTCCCTCAGGCGTGGAACTCGCTAGGTGATTTCTGGCCCAAGGGCAATCATTCCTTCTTACTCCAATCCAGGATACCCAGGATATAAATATAATAAACAAACCTAATACCAGTGGTCCCCAGGCATTTTAGGACAAGATCTGGGATTGCTTACCCCTCTGCAGTTCCTGAAAGTGACTTCAAAGTGTCTTTTTGCTGCAATTATTCCTTTTAAATTTGCAATCATCTGCAAGTCCAATCATTATCTTCAGTGGCTTATGATTACTAGGAATGATCCGAGCAGATCTTTCTCTCTTGGGGGTGTTTTTCTAATCTTCAAGTGGGCCAGAATTTTGACTTGAACATAGAAGACTAAGGAAGGCATTTTGGCCTTGACATTAGGACTACCATGTGTGGGCTGCAAGAATCCAGATGATCACTAGATGGCAGCAAAGAGTAAGAGTTTTCTGCATCCCTTTTCTGCCATCTCCTGATCATCTGGAATTCTGGAGACTGCATGTCATAGTAAAGCAGTTAGGCATGGTATCTCTGGTCTGGAAAGCAGCCATGGTTTCACTATCAAACCATTGCCCTCTGAAGAAGCACAATCCACCCATATCCAGTTGCAGCAAGTGGGAATCTGGTAGCCAAGAGCGGAAGAAAGAGCTTTCCATTAGATGCAAGAACCTTGACTAAGAATGAGGGTTAATGGCAATGTAACACTCACTTCTTTACCTTAAATCTGATGTTATCCCCTGCCCCCCAAATTTCTCATTATATTACCTGCTTCAAGGGGCCCATGCCACGGATTTGTTTGATAGGAAGCCTTTGTTTCTTTTCTTGATTGCTGCCAATTGTTATCACTCAGAAATCAGTCTGTGAGTCATCGGCAGCAGTTGCCATCCAAATAAGCTTTTTGTATGAGTGCGCAGTTAGGCTTTTTGTTTTGAATCTTGGACAGCAGAACGTGATGACTTCCAGCAAGGCCAAAGGGATTTCTTCCACCACAGCAGGACAAATGGATCAGTTGGCTTCATGATCCAAGAACATAGTTTTGCATATAGCTTAGATTTCTAAAAATGAGGTGTTAGAATTATATAAATTTGACTTGTAACAAAATGTTGCAATGTAAATGCTCTTGTCTAATATCTTAGTCATTCAGGACAGTGTTTCTCTCAGTCCAACCCCCTACAGGGTTGTTGTTGAGGCGAAAATTAGAGGAGGGAACATTATGTACGCTGCCTTGAGTTGTTTCAACTAAAGGCAGGATTTAAATGTAATGAAACCCTAAACCTTTCAAATCTTTAATTTTTTAAAAATAATGGAATATGTTTCACCCTTTCCTTTTTCAAAAGATCATCGGTGGTGGGGAAGAAATTGAAATAAATAATTTAATGATATTCATTGTTTTTCTTCCCATGAATGCACTGATTAAAAATTTTAAAGGGATGTATGTGTTCAGATGTAAAGGTATATTTCATCAAAAGCCTTAGAGTCAGGGAAACATGCAGCCTATCCTGGCACTCGGTCTTAGTTGTAGTGACTGCTAAAATCCACTTTCTCCAATCTATGTTGAAGGAAGCATGGTGAACCCTTCCATGTCTTTTCACTTAAAAACTCATGTCCTTGGTGAACTTTCAGAAGTCTTCAACCCCCCCCCCCCCCCAGCTGTTTCAGTGTGATGTCTGAGGAGAGACTTGCCAACATCTCCTCTGTGGATAAATTACTTGTTTGGCTACAGGGAGACCTTGCTTAATGACTGCCTTGTTCAGCAACTGTTTGAAGTTATGGTGATGCTAAAAAAGTAACTTTATGACCGATCCTTGCACTTATGACCATCACAACATCCTGCAGTCTTGTGACTGAGATTTGGGCACTTTGCAACCGGCAGGCGCTTATGACTGTTGCAGGGTCTGGTAGTCATGTGATCGCCATTTGTGTGCTTCACAGCTGGCTTCCAACAAGCAGAGTCAATAGAGAACCTGGCAGTAAAATCACAAGTCACGGTCATGTGATGTCTCACTTAATGACCATGTCACTTAGCAATGGAGTTGCCAATCCCAGTAGTGGTTGTTAAGTTAGGACTACCTGTAGTGAAATTGAATGGATTCAAAATCCACAAAAAATCCACAAAAAGGAACTCCTCTTGGGTCCCTTAGATCAGCTTCAGATTGCTCTGGGAACAGTGTTATTTCACAACTCACGGTTTAAGACACATAGCTATAGGACATTGCATTCCAATTCTTTCACTAGCCTGTTTTCATCCTATTCCCAATAGTCAACATTTGGCAGCCACAATGAAGTGGTGAGAAGTAGTATTTTGGCTACATAATCATAAGCTGTCAGTATTAGATATTGGGTATAGATGGCATGATTTTGTAGACACAAATGTAATGTGTTGATGTGATTTTTTTTTTTCCTGGTAGGGCCAAAAAGAGGTGAAAGAAGGTCCTGTAGTGTTACAAAAAGATGGATTACTGAACGGATTAAGAGCACAAGGTAATAGAAAATATAATATTCCTTAGATTATAAGTGGATCCAAAAATACTAAAGGAAGTGTCCGTATTTCAGCAAAATGATGGAAGAGCTTCCATGTTGATTATACTGAAGTTTAAGCTTTGTTAATGAATCAAGGACTTCAGGGATTGCTATGGAGTCGATCAAATAGTTGGTCAATCAAGCAATTTGATAGTGTTCTGCTGTCATGACATCTTTTCTACATGACTTTAAATGCCGAGGAACCTCCTAGAACGTTGTTATAAAGCAGAAGTGGATGTTTTTACTGCAAGAACTGTTGGGTGTGTGTTGTGGGTTAGTGATATCACTGGACAGAGCAGGTTGATCTTTTCAGATCTTTTTTATGCATGTTTTTCATGGACCTAAAGGAATCAAAGCAACCTTTTGCCTTAAACTTGGATTTATTGCATAGTTTTCAGCCTTAATTTTGGGGCGGGGGAAAGTAAAAGATTTGCCAAGAAAGATTTGCTGTAAAATCTTGGGGGACAATAAGAGGGCATACCGTCTGGGTTGAATGAACTCACAGGTAGGCTCTGGAGAGTGGAATGCCTGTCCCTGTAGAAGAGGATTCTAAGACTTGTTCTGCATCTTGTGTTGAGTCCAAGTAAGGCTGGTTAGGCCTCCTAGATTTTATGATTTCCCAGGGCTATTCAACATGTATTAGCCAAATATAATAGTTGACATTTTGTCCACTGTTCATTTCTACTCTGTATGTTTGACACAGAACACATTATTTATTATTTGTCTGCAAGTAATTCTTTGTGACAATAATTTTGCTATGCACATTTCTCCCTGCCTTTTCTCCAGGATGCAGTGCTGAAGAATATGGAAATTTGTACTTTGATGTCTTGCCCAACGATAACCCATTTAATAAAATGAAGAATCCAAGTTCACTTGGGAAAGCGAACAAAATATTAGCTGGTGTTGTTAAAGATGTAAAGAGAAATGGGAAAATCTCACTAGTTCTTGGTGGAGACGGCAGGTATTTGTTTTACAGAGAACCAAAACCCCAGCCAGGTTCCAGAAATTAAGTCCACCATTGTTTCTTACCATTTTGTGATAAAAGGTGCTTTTTGATCTAAATTTCCAACTACAATGCATAATTGTTGAATTGTTTTCCTCCCTTGTTTCTGCAGCCTGGCAATTGGGACAATCTTTGGGCATGCTGCAGTTCATCCTGATCTCTGCTTAATTTGGTTAGATGGCCCCACTGACATCAACACCCCATTAACATCTCTAAGTGGCAACCTCCACGGGCAACCCCTGGCTTTCCTCATAAAAGAACTTAAGGCACATCCAAGCTTATCCACATATGAAACCATTGAACAATTTTTCTGTTAAGCTATTGCTTTATATATCTTACTACTTGAAAACATAGCTTTCTATTTCTTTTGTGTTTCTAAAAGATATCAAATATTAAGGTAGTCCTCAACTTACGATGGCAATTGGGACCAGAATTTCCATCACCAAGCAATGTGGTTGTAAAGTGTGACTGCATCACTTAGTGACAGCAATCCCTGCAGTCCCAGTTGCCATCATTAACTGAATCTTACGGTGGTTAGGTGAGGCAACCCTCCTCCCTTTCCCCACCCCCCCCCACACCCGGGGGGGATCACGCGGGGAGGAAAGTCCATGCTGGCAGGGGGCGCCGAAGCAGGGGGGAGCGCG